CTTCTTCTTCTTCTTCTTCTTCTTCTTCTCATTTTATTCTTTTTCTTTCCTTCCTTCTTTTCATTTTTCTTCTTCTTCTTATCCTTCTTTATACTCCTTTGTTCTTCTTCACATTCTTTTTTCTTCATTCGTTATTTTTCTTCCTTTTCAGTTTCTTTACTTCTTTTTTCTTCTTCTTTCTTTTTCTTCTTCTTCTTCTTCTTCTTCTTCTTCTTCTCTACTTTTCTTTTTACTTCTTTTCCTTCTTCTTAACCATCATCGTCACATTGTTATTATCATTAACGTTGAGGTTTCTCAACGGTAGTAAAACTGATCATTCGATAGAACTCAAAATTATGTCAGCATTAAATAACCTATTGAGGTTGATATGGCGTAAAACAAAATAAACCAAACAAATCGATTCTAAAATTATGCCGGCATTAAATAACCATTTGAGGTTGATATGCCGTAAAACAAAATAAACCAAACCAATCTAAACCAAAGAATACATATTCTATTCATACAAATCTATCCTAAAAATGTTGTCGGCATTAAATAACCCATTGAAGTTGATATGCCGTAAAACAAAATAAACCAAACCAATCTAAACCAAAGAATACATATTCTATTTATACGAATCTATCCTAAAAAATGATGTCGGCATTAAATAACCCACTGAGGTTGATATGCCGTAAAACAAAATAAACCAAACAAATCTATTCTAAAATTATACCGGCATTAAATAACCCATTGAGGTTGATATGCCGTAAAACAAAATAAACCAAACCAATCTAAACCAAAGAATACATATTCTATTCATACGAATCTATCCTAAAAATGTTGTCGGCATTAAATAACCCATTGGGTTGTTATGCCGTAAAAACAAAAATAAACCAAACCAAACTAAATCAAAGAATACATATTCTATTCATATGAATCTATCCTAAAAAATGTGACTAGCATTAAATAACCCATTGAGGTTGATATGCCGTAAAAAAAAAAAAATAAACCAAAACAATCTAAACCAAAGAATACATATTCTATTTATACGAATCTATCATAAAAATGATGTCAGCATTAAATAACCCATTGAGGTTGATATGCCGTAAAACGAAATAAACCAAACGAATCTAAAACAAAGAATACATATTCTATTCATAACTATCCCTAAAAAATGATGTCGGCATTAAATAACCTAATATGAAAACAAAATAAACCAAACAAATCTATTCTAAAATTATGCATTAAATAACCCATTGAGGTTGATATGCTAAAACAAAATAAACCAAACCAATCTAAACCAAAGAATACATATCTATTCATACGAATCTATCCTAAAAATGTTGTCGGCATTAAATAACCCATTGGGGTTGTTATGCCGTAAAACAAAATAAACCAAACCAATCTAAATCAAAGAATACATATTCTATTCATATGAATCTATCCTAAAAATGTGACTAGCATTAAATAACCCATTGAGGTTGATATGCCGTAAAAAAAAAAAATAAACCAAAACAATCTAAACCAAAGAATACATATTCTATTTATACGAATCTATCATAAAAATGATGTCAGCATTAAATAACCCATTGAGGTTGATATGCCGTAAAACGAAATAAACCAAACGAATCTAAACCAAAGAATACATATTCTATTCATATGAATCTATCCTAAAAAATGATGTCGGCATTAAATAACCTACTGTGGTTGATATGCCGTAAAACAAAATAAACCAAACAAATCTATTCTAAAATTATGCCGGCATTAAATAACCCATTGAGGTTGATATGCTGTAAAACAAAATAAACCAAACCAATCTAAACCAAAGAATACATATTCTATTCATACGAATCTATCCTAAAAATGTTGTCGGCATTAAATAACCCATTGAAGTTGATATGCCGTAAAACAAAATAAACCAAACCAATCTAAACCAAAGAATACATATTCTATTTATACGAATCTATCCTAAAAAATGATGTCGGCATTAAATAACCCACTGAGGTTGATATGCCGTAAAACAAAATAAACCAAACCAATCTAAACCAAAGAATACATATAACTATTCATACAAATCTATCCTAAAGATGATGTCGGCATTAAATAACCTACTGTGGTTGATATGCCGTAAAACAAACCAATCAAACTAAACCAAAACCCTTCTTCTTTTTATTTTTCTTCATCTTCTTCTTCTCCCTTTTTCTCCTTCACATTCTTTTTTCTCCATCCTTTATTTTTTCTTCTTTTTCGTTTTCTTCACTTCTTTTTGTTTTGTTCTTCTTCTTATTATTATTCTTCATTTCCTTCCTCTTCTTTTTACTTCTTTTCCTTCTTCTTAACCGTCATCGTCACATTATTATTATCATTAACGTTGAGGTTTCTCAACGGTCGTAAAACTGATCATTCGATAGAACTCAAGTGACATCAAGCATATTCTGTATTCCCATACCCACTTCAGTATTCTTTATTCATTTTTGATTATTATTTTTATTTCTTTTCATTTCTGTTTTATACACATTTCTTTCTGGGTCCCGACCAAAGACCTAAGGTCAGAAATGCATCATTACATTTTTCACTGAGCAGTTTTGAAGAAAAAAATCACACATATTTTAAATCGATAAAGCCCTTCATAAGGTGTGGGCTGTAAATGTGAGTACAATTTTTATTTATTTATTTAAGTCATGGGCTACCAGGGATTCCTTCATTGAGTCCACTGGAATCTTTTCCATTCAATCCGAGGACTCCAATTATTATTATTATTATTATTATTATTATTATTATTATTATTATTATTTCTTTTTAATTTCTGGTGTATATTCATTTCTTTCCGGCTACCGACCAATGACGTAAGGTCAGAAATGGCATCATGGCATTTTTCACTGAGCAGTTTTGAAAAAAAATCACACATATTTACATAGATAAAGGTGTGAGCTGTACTGGTAAGTGCAATCTATTTGTATTTCTTTAAGGCCTGGCCTACCAGGAATCCTTTCAATGAGTCTATTGAAACCATTTCCAATCAATCCGAGGACTCCAACTACAACAGAGATTGTTGATGTTCTCATGTGCCACATTTTTTTAGATTCCCATGGTCCTTTCATTTTGATAGTTTTTTGAAGATCTTCAAAGATACATTGCAGTCTGCAGGAACTGCCATATCAATAAGGAGGCACCTTTTTGTCTTTGCGGTCTCTAATCACGATGTCAGGACGAATAGCTTTGTTTATTCTGTCTGGGTTTTTAAAGTCACATAATGCCTAGGTGGTTTTCATACCAATTTCTTGCAGTTTCCATTCCGTAAAAGTAGCACCTTTTCCTGTTTAGATATTGACACACTCTGTCATGCCGAATTTTATATTCCCTGGGTACCAATACCGTGAAACCTGATACAAGATGGTCTGTTGTTTCTGGATATTTATCACAGAATCTGCATTTTGGTCAAACACAATTTTTCAATATGTGTGATATGTCACTTAAGTCACTTAACAAGCATTGGTCCTTTGGTTTCAGTTTTTTAACACTGTACTACGTAGCCACTGATGGATACGGGATTTATCTTCCTCAGTTTGTTTGACACGGACAAAATTTTGGCCGTGAAGCGGTTTATCTTGCCATCGTTTCTGTATCTGGTCGGTTGAGTTTGCCTTTGCTTTTTTCATTATTATTATTATTATTATTATTATTATTATTATTATTATTATTAATTATTATTAATATTTCCTTTGATTCCTGCAGTATACTCATTTCTTACTGCGTCCCGACCAGAGACCTAAGGTCAGAAATGGCATCATTGCATTTTTCACTGAGCAGTGTTGAAGAAAAAAAATCACACACATTTTACATAAAGCTCTTCGTAAGGTGTGGGCAGTACTTGTGAGTACAATTTTTTTATATTTCTTTAAGTCATGGGCTACCAGGGATTCCTTCAATGAGTCTATTGGAATCCTTCCCAATCAATCCGAGGGATCCAATTCTTCTTCTTCTTCTTCTTCTTCTTCTTCTTATTATTATTATTATTATTATTATTATTATTTTTTTTCTGCTGTATACACATTTCCTTCTGGACCAAAGACCTAAGGTCAGAAATAGCTTTTCATGACATTTTCACAGATTATATCTGTAAAAAGAAAAAGGGTAACCAAAGACCACACCCATTTTACATATATAAAGCCCTTCGAAAGTAGTTGAACGTGAGAGTACAACATCACTGGAATTATTGAGGTGATCATGTGCCTCATTCCTTTAGAAGTTCCATATTTTCTGACAGTTAAAGATCTGAAAGACACATTACATTCTGTAGGAACTGCCATGTCAATGAGAAAGTAAATTCTGTTTCTGTGGTCATTGATCACGATGTCTGGGCGATTAGCTTCATTTGTTCTGTCTGCTTGTATTGTAAAGTCTCATAAAATCCTCATAGGTACTATCTCTTTAACCTGATCTAAGTTATGTACATACAAGTTTCTTGCAGTTTCCTTCCCGTAAAAATTGCATATTTTCTAGTGCAGATATTAACCCACCCTGGCATGCATAGTTTTATATTCGGTAGATGCTAATACCGTGCAAATCTTTTAGAAGATGTTTCACTGTTTCGGGATATTCGTCAGGGAATATCCAATTTGGGTTAACGTAATGTTTCAGTATGTATCCTAGGTAAGCTCTAGTGTGTTTTGGTTCAGCGCAGAAAGAATACATAACCACTGATAGGTCTGGAATTTGTCTACAGGTTCTTTGACATCGGCAGAGTATTGGCTATGAAGAGCCTTATTTTGCCAATATTTTCTGCATCTGGTTCCTCTTCTTTTATTTTTCTTTCATTTTTTAAAGTTCTTTGCCACTACAGTAGGTAGATTATGGCTTCCTTGTTCTTCGCCATCTACTTGAAATACCCTTTTGAATTTGTTGGCTTCCTTTAAAACGGAATAAAGTTATAAATTTATTTCTTTCGTGTTTACTCTTCGAATTTCTATGATGAGAATATTAATTATTTACACTATTGACATGCCGGCGATTGTCCTCATATTTGTTGTTTTTATCACAACAATTCGATCGTTGTACCTTCCGTCCTTCATCAGGTGTATGTTAATCTGGGTAATGTATAAGGATTTCCGAAATAAACAATTTACTTAATTTACAGGCGTAAATGTTCTTCTTCTACTAGAAACGTCTTGCGATATTTCGTTCACGTTCCACTGCCAATATCTCGGAATACCTAGTTGGAGTTCCACTACCAATGTCTCGGAATATATCGTTCTTGTTCCACTGCAAATGTCTCGGGATATCTCGTTTTTGTTCCCCTACTAATGTCTCAGGATATCCCGTTTTCGTGTCACTAACAATATCTCAAGATATCCCATTCTCTATCGGCTACCAATGTCTAGGGATATCCCGTTTTCATGTCACTATCAATGTCTCGGGATACCTAGCTCTCGTTTCACTTTCATTGTCTCGATCCACAGAGAATGTATCGGGATATCTCGTACTTGTCCCACCACTAATGTCTCAAGATATCCCGTTTTCGTGTCAATAAGTATATCTCACGATATTTCATTATCGATCCGCTACCAATGACTAGGGATATCCCGTTTTCGTGTCACTAACAATGTCTCGGGATACCTAGCTCTAGTTTCACTACAAATGCCTCGATCCACTGCCAATGTCTCGGGATATCTCAGTCTTGTTCCCCCACTAATGTCTCAAGATATCCCGTTTTCGTATCACTACCAATGTCTCGGGATAATCTAGCTCTCGTTTCACTACCAATGTCTCGTTCCACTGCGAATGTCTCGGGATATCTCGTTCTTGATTTCATTAGCAAAGGCTTGGGATATTTTGTTTTCGATCCACTGCCAATGTCGCGTGAAATCTCATTCTCGTTCCTCTACAGATGTCTCCGGATATCCCGTTCTCGTTCCACTATCAGTTTTTCGGGATATCATTTTCGATCCAGTAATATGTCTCGGTATATCTCGTTCTCATTCCACTACCAATCTTTCGGCATTTCTAGTTTGGGTCATATATTCCCTACTACTGAGTTACTGCTCGTCCTGTTTGCACGTTGAACTTACAATTATACCGCTTTCATGAACCATAGATTGATTCCGCTAGATTATTGTCCCACGTCTCTTACAAGACAATAGACATTCTCTTTTAAATTATATTTCTTTGGATTATGACAATTATTCTCTGAAAATGTCTTCACTTCTTCAACAGAAAGTGGCTTTTTCAGTTCTATAACACTTTTTTCCAAATTCCTTATAAAAATTCTTGATGTTCGTTTTAAATATCTTACTTTGTCGATAGAGCCTTTAACGATTTTCATATCATTAACATTATTGGTTATTTGGTTGGTTGATTTGGTTTTACAGCCTGTCAACATCAATGGGCTATTTAATGACGATATTTTTATTGTTGGTAAATTTTTTTCCCCACAAATATATTGCCGGTAATATTTTTCTTTTTCAAAAAAATCTACTGCTGGTAATAATTCTTCCAAAAAGGTATTGCTGGTATTAAAACCTATTTTTATACTTTCATAGTGTTTCAACACCTTTTTTTTTTTTGGTGGGGGGAGGTAACTATTTGCCCATACCTTGGACCCTGACTGGTGCTACCACCCCGGGTCAGGGTGGATCTGTGAACACCAGCAATTAAGAAGTGGTTCCATGCTTTTCAAAACCTCCTGACCAAAGGTCTTACTCTCGGATGTAGTTTACCCAGGATGCGGATGTGGTTTATTGTCTTACCTAGGACGCGGATGTAGTTTATCATCATACCCAGAACAGGTCTTTTTTGAACTGTTGTCCTCATCTTTATTGCCATATTCATGGCGTTTCGGCCGTTGTACGCTTCGGCCTTTTTCAAGTGATTGGAATTCCAAACTGTACCCTTTATTTCGTATACCGAGGTATACTGTTCTAGTTCCATGTTCCATGCCTCTTCCGGATGTCTCCGTTATCTCCCTTTAACTCAACTTTGCAAGTTTTTTTTCACTACTGCATTAGCCAGGTATTGAACTTACAACTTTTTGGAGTGGATCCAACCAACGCTTTTATCCAATACGTTATGTGTCCTTGCGTGCATAAATTTGGGGGATGTATGAACTTAATTTTTTTTTTTTACCATTGCTCATATTGTTGCATTTCTATAGCACTCCTTATTACTGGTTTCCATATTGTATTCATTTCTATGCTTGGTCGGCTCAGGAGATTTTTGTGGCCTAGCATATGTGCTGATTCCTTAAATTTTCGTATTTTCCCGTGAAAATATTATCTGTCTATTATTTCAAATTCATCCCAAAGGAGGCGGAGCGTACAACGGCCGAAACGTTGTGAATATGCCAATAAAGATGCGGATAACAATCCAAATAATGTAAATAATGTAAATAATTACGATACCTCATCTCAGAAATATTGACAGCTTTTCATATTGTCACGTTCTCTGTGCCTTTAATTGTAGTTTCCGTTTACTAGCAACCTTGTTTGGCGAAATTTCGTTTATTACTTTAATAATATATTTCCGTTTAAGTTCCCTGCTGTTCCGAGACGAAACATTTGGAATTCTTGCAATATCATCTCGTATTGATAACTCATATCAAATTTCCTCAAATTCTTGCATTAATTTTGCCTTCCAAGCAAGGCGTTTTTATCTCTTGTTTCATCTCTTTTTTTGTCTTGACAATAAGTTTTCTAGTAACTGCTAAAGTCGTTGCATATATGACCTTATCTCTTTAAGTGCATTAGTTTAATCACCCGGGAAGTGATTTAGCAGAAAACGGAAAATGCGACACTAAAATCCGAAGGCGCACTGAGCCTTCCAGAAGATAAGCAAGTGATTAAAATACAGAGAAATTCCGTTATCGGTGTGGCCTTGTTTGGACCAGAAACAAAGACACAAGAGAGGAATTGAGTCAAACAAATATATTAACAAAAACAATAATATAAACATATACAAACGAGAGTGTTACAGCATGTTCAGCTCGACTGTCAGAGCTCACTGCCGGAAAATTCCCTCTCCAACACAAATGGGTAAGTCCCAATATCATAAATACGTTGGACACTATTGTAAGTGGGGGGAAATGCTGTTTAAGTAGTCCACCTTTAGCAGTGGCTTACCTACTTGACGCCGCTGGCGAGTATTGTATTTTGTTGATGTTATAAAGATTAGCATTTCATTTTCAACCTCCGTTTTCTTATTCCTCATTCAGTAACCGCTTCTAGGTTACAACATCTATCTATCTATCTATCTATCTATCTATCTATCTATGTGCCTTCGTTATCTGTCTACCTATATATCTATATATCTCATTCCCTTCATTATCTGTTGTTATATACCGTACATGTGAACACTAATGGATATGTCCCTATCCTCATAAATACGTTGTACACTGTTGTAAGCGGGATCAATATGATGTCTAAGTAGTCCACCACTTGCAGTGGTTTACCTATTTCACGCCGCTGGCGAGTATTGTATTTTGTTGATGTTATAAAGATTACCATTTCATTTCCAAGCTCTGTTTTGATTATTTTTCATTCAGTAACCGTTTCTTTTGTTGATTTTCGAGTGCAGTGGAAAAAGATGCAATGACTTGTTAATGTTCTTCCCGATATGACAGCATATGTAATGTTTTCCTGTGGTTTGTTCGTTAACAATGTTATATGTTTTCACAGTATGTTTGTTGGACTTTGTCATTGGGATTCTTGGAATTTGTAGTATTTCTGACAATTAGGTTCGAGTTAGTTTGCTGATTATTTGAATGATGGGATTTTTCGCTTCAGTGATTTCACGTTTGTTATTTTCAAGGAAGGCATCTCATTCGTGATAGAATCTAAATCATTGCAATTGCTTATATCGCAGGGGAGATTCTTCCGTTTTATTTTCTGCGAGATCCTTATTTCGTATCTCATTTATTTTAGTTTGTATCTCATACCCTGTCATTTTTTTGTATTTCTACTGTTGCCTAATTTTCTTTCGGTTATATCTGATTGTACTTTAGTTGCCATTTTTCTGGGGGAACTTATATATTGCACGTCCAAAAGGTAGTAGTAAATTTTATTCTGGTTGCGGGCCGAATACTGATCATATTCGGTCGGGTCGCCCATCGAAGAAGTCTGTTGTTTATTTAGACCCGAAACTTCTAGTGACATGCGAGCAAAAATATTAACGACGCACTTAGATTCGGCAATTAAATATTTATTTTTAATATCTTATATTTAGTTTTATCTGATCTATTTCTTCATTTAAGTGTCTTTTATTTCTCACCATCTTTCCGTGGACATTGGTAAGTATATCTGGATCGAGATAAGGTTTTTATTTCAGTTCCACTCGAGCAGCGTCTTCCTACGAACCATTACCTTGTAGGACCGACTGACCAGAGGCTCTTTCCTCGTTTATTACAATCTCAACTTGTTCAAGTCTACGGTTAACCGTTATCATTCACACATATCTGCTTAAATTGTGACTCTTATTTTGTTAATCCAGTGTCTCGTTTGCCTTGCATAAAAGCTAAACAACACTGTAACAAAAAAGAAAAATATAGTGTTACAACATATTGGAAGAGTTACAGCAATGTTTTGTTTATTATTATTATTATTATTATTATCATTATTATTATTATTATTATTATTATTGCTGTTGTTGTTGTTGTTGTCCTTCTTCGCCGTCTTCTTGTTGGCTACCTTCGTCTTCTCCATATACATCTCCTTTTTCTTCACACTATTATTATTATTATTATTATTATTATTATTGTCCTTCGCCATCTTCTTCCTTGGCTACCTTCATCTTATTCTACATCTCCTTTTCTTCTTCTTCTTCTTCTTCTTCTTCTTATTATTATTATTATTATTATTGTTCTTCTTCGGCGTCTTCTTCTTGGCTAACTTTGTCTTCTCTATCTGCATCTCCTTTTTCTTCTCACTATTTGTCTTCTTCTTCTTCTTCTTCTTCTTCTTCTTCTCATTATTATTATTATTATTATTGTCCATCGCCATCTTCTTCCGTGGATACCTTCGTCTTCTCCTAAATCTCGTCTTCCTTCTCACTATTATTATTATTTTGATTTTCTTTGATTTCTGGCGTTTACACATTTCTTTCTGGGTCCCGCCCAGGGACCGAAGGTTAGACACTTTCCACTGACAAACAAAACAAAAACAAAACAAAAAAAAAAAAAGATAAAAAAAAAATTAAATTACATAGATAAAGCCCTTCGTAAGGTGTGGGCTGTACTTGTTAGAACAATTTTTTTTTTTGTATCTCCTTGAGGCATGGGCTTCCAGGAATCCCTTCAATTAGTCTACTGCAATCTTTTCCAACCAGTCCTAGGGCACCAACTACAACAGGGATTGTTGATGTTCACATATGCCACATTTTCGAGATTTCTATTTCAAGGTCCTTTTTGACAACTTTATTATTATTATTATTATTATTATTATTATTGTCCTTCTCCATCTTCTCCCTTGGCTACTTTCGTCTTCTCCTTCTACATCACATCTTCCTTCTCTCTATTATTATTATTATTATTATTGTCCTTCTCCATCTTCCTCCTGGGCTACCTTCGTCTTCTTCTTCTACATCTCTTCTTCATTCGCATTATTATTATTATTATTATTATTATTATTATTATTATTATTGTTGACCTTCCTAACCGTCTTCTTCTTGGCTAATCTTCGTCTTCTCCTTCTACATCACCTTTTTCTTCTTCTTCTTCTTCTTCTTATTATTATTATTATTATTATTATTATTATTATTATTATTATTATTATTATTTGTATATGGTATGTTTCCTGCTTTGTATCCTATAGAGCCGGGTCAAAATATGTCCTTAGGCCCGATATGAGAATTGTCATTTAATTTATTGCACTTTTCTTAGTATATGGGATGTTTCTAGTAGGGCGAACTTCTGGTTAACTTGTATGTTGATGTTACCTGGGACATTTAGTAAATTTGTCCTTTTCTCACGAGGACCAGAACTCTGATTACTATAGGAAACTCAGTCTTCATTCCCCACATCCTGTTAATCGCGATCTATTATTATTATTATTAGTCGTTGTTAATATATGTATAAAGTTTTCATAATTAATTTCTATTTTGAGAATTTTGCTGAAGATCAAGTGACAACAAGACTTCCTTCTCATCAAATTCTTCACTTCCTGCCATCTCTGCTTTCGCTTATATCACATATCATTCATCATATCAATTTTAACATTGACCTTCTAAGTTGAGTGATTCTAACTCCTTGTATTGAGTTTAGGAGAATAAGGAGAAAAACCTCGAAATCTTCACCGTTGCCTTCATTTTCTTCTTCTTCTCATTATTATTATTATTATTATTATTATTATTATTATTATTATTATTATTCGCCGTCTTCTTCTTGGCTACCTTCGTCTTCTCCTTCTACATCTCATTCTTCTTCTCACTATTGTTATTTTTTATTATTATTATTATTATTATTATTTTCTTTGATTTCTGGCGTTTACACATTTCTTTCCGGGTCCCGCCCAGGAACCTAAGGTTAGAAATGGCATCATGACACTTTCCACTGACAAAATAAAAAAGAAAAAGATTACATAGATAAAGCCCTTCGTAAGGTGTGGGCTGTACTTGTCAGAACAATTTTCTGTATCTCCTTGAGGCATGGACTTCCAGGAATCCCTTCAATTAGTCTACTGGAATCTTTTCCAACCATTCCTAGGGTTCCAACTACAACAGAGATTGTTGATGTTCCCATATGCCACATTTTCGCGATTTCTATTTCAAGGTCCTTGTACTTTGACAACTTTTTGAATATCTTCAAAGATACATTGCAGTCAGCAGGGACTGCCATATCAATAAGGAGGCATCGTTTTTGTTTGTGGTCTTTATTATTATTATTATTATTATTATTATTATCCTTCTTCGCCGTCTTCTTCTTGGCTACCTTCGTCTTCTCCTTCTACATCACCTTTTTCTTCTTCTTCTTCTTCTTCTTCTTCTTCTTCTTCTTCTTCTTATTATTATTATTATTATTATTATTATTATTATTATTATCCCGTCGCCATCTTCTTCCGTGAATACCTTCGTCTTCTCCTTCTACATCCGTTTCTTCTCACTATTATTATTATTATTATCATTATTATCGTCTTCCTTTGCCATCTTCTTGGATATCGTCGTCTTCTTCTACATCTTCATTTTCCACTATTATTATTGTTCCTTCTCCTTTTACACCTTGTCAGTTTTCTAATTATTATTAATGTTGTTAGTTTTATATATTTTTCCTTATTGTATATCGAAATTATTATTATTATTATTATTATTATTATTATTATTATTATTATTATTATTATTCATTTTTTATTCTTTCTGATACCACTGAAATTTCCGCTGGTCGTATTATTACGGCATATATACATTATAAATCTACATTTTTATTTGTTTACTTATCTTATCACTTTCTATCTTTTTTTTTCTTTTTTTTTATTGGTGTTGTTGTGTTCTTTGCCTTTATCGACAGGGCCAAGATATGAATTTCTAGCTTCCTCTACCACCACCACCACACTGAACACCTTCTGTCGACAGAACAGCGTCAGGTCATTTCCAGTATTAAAAAAAAGAAAAACAAGATAAGAAAATTAAACTGCCCCCCATATATATATATATATATATATATATATATATATATATATATATATATATATTATATATATATATATATATTTTGTGTGTGTGTGTGTGTATACAATGCAAAGACCATTATTAGAGTCTAATTCTTCATCCTTAAAGGCTCGATCCATTTATCAGTTATTTGCCGGTGTCTCCTTGCCACAATCTATGGGCAAACTGCACTAAAAAGAAAAAAAATATATAACAATGCGACACTTTTCCATTACCAGCAATTTCGGGTCAGCCACTACATACCAAGTCAAAAATGCCAAGTTGGCCTTTTCACCATTAAGGACCGAAATTCGTCCATATTTGTTTTCTTCTATTTGCTTTTCTTATCATTCATGATGGACACAAATAACGCAAAACTCCTTTCGGAGCGCTAATATATTTTTCAAATCAACATTATAATGCATATAGATATAGTCGGTCTATTATTACTGCAAGCTGCCATATATGGCAACCATTTTGCGCTGTCGACAAAATGGGTGTCTATTATCGAGCGAAATGAACAGGTAATGCATTTGAACAGTTTTCTTACATTAGAGTTTCCCTATATAGATTCCCTTATTTGTCCACCCATCTTCCTCACCCACTCCCTATATATATATATATATATATATATATATATATATATATATATATATGTGTGTGCGTGTATGATATATAAATTTCCACATATCAGAACAATGCTAAGCAAATTAATGACAAATGTTGTAAAAATTATGTTATGCTGTTTGCCTTCATCGGATTAAAGTAGTGTTTTTGTTGATGGAATTCTATATATTTTTATTATTACTCTTATGTTTAGTGGATACCCGTATTTAAGTAGACGCTCCGTTTATTTAGATTTAAATTTTATTTCGTCTTCGAGCTTGTAACACTCAAGAAAACTTCTTGATGTAATAAAAATATGCCAAATTAAGGTATCGATATGTATGAAATAAGGTCAATATAGTGGTGGTTCGGATTGAGGAACTGGAGACTCGAGTTTGAATTCCAGTTCTATGACGATAAACTACATCCGCGTCCTGGGTACGTCCAACAGCAAGGCCTGTGATCAGGAGGTTTTGAGGAGCGTGGAACCACCTCTTAATTGCTGGTGTTCCCAGGGTGGTAGCACCTGTTAGAGTACCGGCTATAGGCAAAGAGTTAACTCCGATACTGAGGTAAAAAGCATTATAAAAGTGTAAATGTATGTTTTAATACCAGAAATACTTTGTAAAAATTATTACCAGAAATAAGTTTTTGAAGAAAAAAAAACTATTCCGAGTAATATATTTTGAAAAAAAAAACTATTACGAACAATATATTTTTGAAAAAAAAAAAAAGAAATCACCAGCAATATATTTTTGAAAAAAAATATTAACAGCAATATATTTAAAAAAACAAAAAAAAAACATTACCATCAATACGTTTTGAGAAAAAAATATTACCAGCGATATGTTTTTGGAAAAAAATATGTTACCTGCAATACATGTTTTAAAATAATATTACCAGCAATACATGTTTTAAAATAATATTACCAGCAATACATGTTTTAAAATAATATTACCAGCTATATATTTTTGAGGTAAAAAAATACCAGAAATAGATTTTTATCAAAACAAGATATTACCCTGAAAAAAGTTGTCGGCATTAAATAACCCATTGAGGTTGATATGCTGTAAAACACAGCCAACCAAACCAAACCAATCGAGTTCATTACATTCCCTTAACTTGGGAAAGGTATGAATCCCGCCATGGGTAAGTAGCAGGTAAAACTGCTTTGGTTTATAACCAGTCGAGGAGAAAATAAGATTGAAATTCAGACAAACTTATAGGTTCTGCCTCTTTAGGCAAAGACTAGAAGAAGGTAATCCATTCCACATCGTACGTCTTCTCGAAGAATTGGACTTCTTCGATCCTCGACAGAAAATAATGGACTAGAATGGTTCGGACAAACACAAGACTGAGACGCGGCATGGCGCTAGGACCTCTCAAATTTTGGACCATTCAGCACGCTCATTGGTGTATTTCCTACGGCACTTTAGACGACGAGGGTAAACACCGAAACTCAGCACTGGGACAACTCGACTGTGACAACTCAAACACCGAGACAACTCAGGACTGAGACAACTCAACTGAGACAACTCAGGACTGACCGAGAGACAACTCAGGACTGAGACAACTCAGCACCGTGACAACTCAGGACCGAGACAACTCAGGACTGAGACAACTCAGGACCGAGACAACTCAGCACTGTGATAACTCAGGACCGAGACAACTCAGGACTGAGACAACTCAGGACCGAGACAACTCAGCACTGAGACAACTCAGGACCGAGACAACTCAGCACTGGGACAACTCAGGACCGAGACAACTCAGGACCGAGACAACTCAGGA